AAACCACCCCCAGTTTCCAAATTTGCAAACCCATCGTGCCAGAGAATTGCCCAGTGCCTCCTGCAAGTGACCAATCCCGTGTCCTGGTTTTACTGGTGTCCTGGATGCCACCAGCTGGTCACCAGCAGAGGGTGTGTTCAGCTCGGTCTGCTCCGAGCACAGCACTCAGGGAACAAGCAGAACCGCTGGCAGGGGGTCTCGGGACCCCTTCGGGGCTCCTTCCCCCAGCACCAAGCACATGGCCCAGCCCGGTGCTAAATATCCCAGGTGCACAGCACTAGGAGAGATCTAGAGAGGCAGCCAGGACAGGGCAGATCCTACCTTGACCTGGTTGAAGCTAATGGTGATGGAAGCAGCTGATGTGAACCCCTTAATGACAGGGCAGGAAATGAAATCCAGAAGGAATCCTGCATGGGATGGGAGGCAGTGAGCATGATCCTGACCCCAGTGGGACAGCAGGACAGTCCCAGTGTCCCGGAGAGCAGAGAGGAGGAAGGAACAACTAGAGGCTGTGCAGCAAGATCCTAAACACATCAGTGCATGGCAAGAGCATCTCACCAAGGCGCAGGAGCCCCATGGCCAGCTGGATACAGCCAGAGAGGAAGGCGAGCAGGACGGCATAGACGGGCTGGTGGAAGGCATAAGAGGAGACCAGCAGGGACATGATGGCCGTGGGACCCAGCGTCACGTCCTTGGCCGTGCCCAGGAGGCAGTACACGAAGCAGCCCATGAAGGAGGAATAGAGGCCGTACTGCAGGGGGACAGAAGGGGCACTGGCACAGCTCTGGGAGCCGGGAGAGGCCGGACACCTCCCGGACTGGGAGGGCTGGGCTGATCTCGGGTCACTCCAGGGCCCTTGGCACACGCATGGCATCCTGCCCGGGAAATGGGCGACTGCACGGCTCCAGCCCTCGGTCAAGCAGGCCAGCCCGGCCCTGCCCGCCACACTGCCGGGCTGGCCGGGAGCGGGATCACCCTGGCCGGAGGCAGCCCGGGGAGCGGCAGGTCCGCGGGTCCCGGCACCCACCTGCAGCGGCAGCCCGGCCAGCTCGGCGTAGGCCAGCGCCTGGGGCACGGCGGTCAGTCCCACGGCCAGCCCGGCCAGCAGGTCCAGCGGCAGCCACGCCCGGGAGTACCGCGGGAGCCAGCGCAGCACCGGCAGCGCCGGGCGCGGACACCGCGACCCCGGCATGGCCGAGAGCCCGCGGGGCCGCGGTCGGTACCGGGGCCGGAGCGGGGCGGAGCGGGGCGGAGCGGGACCCCGCGGGGCCGCGGTCGGTACCGGGGCCGGAGCGGGGCGGAGCGGGACCCCGCGGAGCCGCCGGTGCCAGCCCGGCACAGCCCACGGCTCCGCCCGAGCCGGATCTGAGCGGCCGGGGCGCCTCATGTGACCGGGGTGAGGAGGAGCCGGGGCGGCCGGAGGAGCCGCCGAGCCCCGCTGCTGGTGCCGCTGTCGGTACCGGTGCCATGCGGCCCTGGGCACTGCTGCTGCTGCTGCTGGGCGTGCTCCGGCCCGGCGGAGCCGCGGCCCCGGCCCGCAATGTGCTGCTGCTCCTGGGTGAGTGCGGCCCGGCCCGGCCCCGGAGCCGGCCCGGCCCCCCCTGCCCGGGGCTCGGCGCTGAGGGCATCCCGCGGCTGGGAGGGAGGGACGGTCCCGGGCTCCGCTGCATCCCCTCCGCAGTACCGCCCGGGTCACCCGCAGCCCGGGGATGCTCTCGGTGTCATCAGTGCCTTCTGGGCTGACCCCGCACCCGGTCAGGGACACCCCCGGGCTGATCCCGCACCCGGTCAGGGACACCCCCGGGCTGACCTCAGGGACACCCCGGGCTGACCCCGCGCCCGTCCCGCAGCTGATGACGGCGGCTTCGAGAGCGGTGCCTACAACAACTCAGCCATCCGCACGCCGAACCTGGATGCACTGGCCCGACGCAGTTTGGTCTTCCAGAACGCCTTCACCTCCGTGAGCAGCTGCTCCCCGAGCCGGGCCAGCATCCTGACCGGCTTACCCCAGGTAGGGGCACCTGCCTGCGCCGGGCCGGGGCTGCCAGCCCACAGCAGGAGTCACGGGCACGGCTGGACGTGTTCTGGAGCTGGGCTGGCAGCCCTAGTCTGACCGGGCCCTGTCCCCACAGCACCAGAACGGGATGTATGGGCTGCACCAGGACGTGCATCACTTCAACTCCTTCGACGGCGTGCGGAGCCTGCCCCTGCTGCTCAGCCACGCAGGCATCCGGACAGGTAGGAGCTGGGACATGCAGGAGCTGGAACAGGTAGGAAGCTGGGACAGGTAGAGAGATGGGACAGGCAGGAGATGAGACAGGCAGGAGATGGGACAGGTAGAGAGCTGGGACAGGCAGGAGCTGGGACAGGTAGAGAGATGGGACAAGTAGAGAGATGGGACAGGCAGGAGATGAGACAGGCAGGGAGCACCAAACCAAACCCCAATGACAGAGCTCCCTGGACCTGTGGCTGTCCCTGCAGAGAGGAGACAGCAGCAGCCCCATCCCGCCTGCACTGCTCCTCCACAGCACCTGTCTGCATTCTCACAGGGATAATTGGGAAGAAGCACATGAGGCCGGGGGCTGTGTACCCCTTTGACTTTGCCTACACAGAGGAGAACAGTTCGGTCCTACAGGTTGGGAGAAACATCACCCGGATCAAGGTGCTCGTCCGGCGCTTCCTGCAGAGCCAGGATGAGAGGTGAGACTGCCCCCTTGTCCTGGGAATGGCTGCACTGAAGATGCGTCCCCGTGGCCCAGCTGGTCACAAACAGGAAGGGGCCCCTTGTCCCTGAGTCCCCCCATATCCAGATGAGGTGGGGGGAGCCCTGACCTCAGCTTGCCGTGGCACAGCTCAGGAAGGTCTCTGGGCAGTCCTTTGCTTCACCACCTTCACACCCCCCTTTTCCATCCCTAGGCCTTTCTTCCTCTATGTTGCCTTCCACGACCCTCACCGCTGTGGGCACTCCCAGCCCCAGTATGGGGCCTTTTGTGAGAAGTTTGGCAATGGAGAGAGCGGGATGGGCTGGATCCCTGACTGGAAGCCACAGATTTACAGCCCAGAGCAAGTGCAGGTGAGAACCTGTGGGAATGTGTGGGGCTCTCTGGGACTGCACATGATGGCAGCGTCTGATGGAACCAGGGCTGGCCCCCACCTTGTCACTGCCCCCAGTGTCACAGCAAGAGCTGGTGAAGGCACAGGGGCCTGTGTCAGCCACGTGTCCCTTTCCCTGTCTCCATTTAGGTCCCTGCCTTTGTCCCGGACACGCCGGCTGCCCGGGAGGACCTGGCTGCCCAGTACACGACCATTGGCCGCATGGACCAAGGTGGGAGCCGTGGCCAGGCTGGGGCTGAGCTCTGCAGCTCCTCTCTCCCTCCCCGCTGAGCTCTGCCCCTGCTCTCACAGGGATCGGGCTGGTCCTGGAGGAGCTGCGCCGCGCCGGCGTCCTCAACAGCACCCTGGTGATCTACACGTCCGACAACGGCATCCCCTTCCCCGGGGGCAGGACCAACCTCTACCGCTCGGGCACCGCCCAGCCGCTGCTCCTCTCCTCCCCCGAGCACCCCCAGCGCTGGGGGCACGTCAGCCTGGCCTTCGCCAGCCTCCTGGGTAAGTGCTGAGGGAGGGAGGGAGGCAGCACAGCTGTGCCTGGAGCGGGGTGTGCTGCTCCCCACCCTCCCTGCACCAAAACTCAGGGTCCTGTCCCTGGGGGCAGCCCCGAGCCCTCAGCACTGGCAGGGCCAGTGCAGGGAAGGGAGAGGAGGAAGGACAGGACAGGGTCCCCTGCAGGGACACCATCCCTGGGGACCTTTCTGCTGCTCTCTGGGGCTGAGTTTCCTCCCACAGTGCCTGTCCCTGTCTCACCCTTTTCCTCCCCTCCAGACCTGACGCCGACCATTCTGGACTGGTTCTCCATTCCCTACCCTGCTTACAGCATCTTTGGCACCAGGCAGGTGCAGCTCACTGGAAAGTCTCTCCTGCCAGCCCTGGAGTCAGAGCAGCCCTGGGCCACCGCCTTCAGCAGCCAGAGTCACCACGAGGTGACCATGTACTACCCCATGCGAGCCATCCAGCACCGCCAGTTCCGCCTCATCCACAACCTCAACTACAAGATGCCCTTCCCCATCGACCAGGACTTCTACGTCTCACCCACCTTCCAGGACCTGCTGAAGCGCACCAGGGCGGGGCAGCCGACGCACTGGAACAGGAGCCTGCAGCAGTACTACTACCGAGCCCGCTGGGAGCTCTTTGACTGCAGCCGCGACCCCACCGAGAGCCAGAACCTGGCCCCCGACCCGCGCTATGCCAGCGTCCTGCAGCTGCTGCGTGCCCAGCTCCTCAGGTGGCAGTGGGACACGGGGGACCCCTGGGTGTGCGCCCCCGACGCTGTCCTGGAGGAGAAACTGAGCCCCCAGTGCCAGCCACTGCACAATGAGCTGTGAGTGTCACCTGTGAGTGCCACCTGTGCCCTGACAGTGCTGTGCTCTGTGGGGCTCAGACCCCACCTGTGCCCTGACAGTGCTGTGCTCTGTGGGGCTCAGACCCCACCTGTGCCCTGACAGTGCTGTGCTCCTGTGGGGCACGAGGGCTGGTCCCAAATCCCGGGGACACCACGAGGCTCTGCCCTCTGTGCCAACACCGCCTGACCCCAGAGCACTGAGGGATTCCTGGTGCCTTGGCTCTCAGCCAGAGGAGCTGAAGGGCCAAGCTGGCCCTCAATAAAGCCTCTGGAGGATAAGGCTCATTTTCACCTGGAGCTGGGCACAGCCCTGCAGCAGCCCCCAGCTTGGAGGCAGCAGGACAAGCCAAGGGCCTCTGTGGCACAGCCAGGGCTGCAGGAACAGCTGGGGACCCCCAGGGCTCTGGGAAATGGGGAAAGCCTTCAAGGGGCACAGGGGGTCCCGCTGGAGACCTCCAGGCAGGGACAGAGCTGGGGTGTCCCAGCCAGGGGCAGGGGACTGAGCACATTCAGAACCAGGAGAGGGGACAAGGACACGGCCTGGGGCTGCTCCCAGCAAACAGCAGCTTTATTCACAGTACTGCTCCCTCAGTCCCTGCATATCCCCCTCCCCAAAACCACAGCCAAGAAATTCCCTGCAGTCTCTGCCCTAGTTACCAGGCCCCCAGAGTAACTGGTTTGCTGTCTCACAAGGCACTTGGATCTTTTTTCCCCTGATTTGATGATGGTGAAGTTTTCCCTGTCCCTGGGGGCTGTGCAAGGGCTCCCTCCCTCTGCCAGTCCAGTGCACACCCCTCCATCAATGCCCAGCAGCCAGAGGGAGAACAAGGCCCAGGAGTGTGGGAAGAGCAGGGGCAGCTCAGGGTACAGGGGATGGGATGGATTTGGCCTTGGATTCCAGGGGAGCAGCGCAGTCTCCCTGTGACCCACGCTGGTCAGGACCAGGAGATCACAAACTGCTCCCACATGGGCAGCGACACAGGGACTCTCAGCACCTGGGGGAGAAGGAAGGTGAGAGCCAGGCAGGAGGGAGCCCAGGAGTGTCAGAGCCCCGGGGGGTCCTGCCCCTCACAGAGCCACAGCCTGGCACAGTCCTGGTCCCACAGATCCCCTGGGCAGGGCACCCATGGCCTGTGCTGTGCCATCGCTGGAGCACTCCGGGTCCCTTCCTGGCCACCACCCCTGCCCAGGCTGGGAACCAGCGCTCACCTGGGTGTCACTGCGGTACGAGAAGTCACTCACGATGGCACCGTTGGCCAGAACTCTCCGGGGAGGGCTGGTGACCCCCAGCACAGTCACGGCCTCCAGCAGGACCCCGTCCAGGTGGGCACTCGCCCTCAGCAGCTGGCTGAGCACAGCGTCCTGGGCACAGGGGATGGCACCATGTGCTCCCAGGGCTCCTCCAGGTGCCCCACCCCACCTGCTGCCTCTCTGAGCAGACACAGGTGTGCCAGGGTCACCAGGAGCCCTGCCCAGCCCCTGCCAGCAGCTCCCCGTGCTCACGTTGGAGGCCAGGAAGAGGATCTCGGTGTAGTCGCCCCTCTCAAAGGTCTCCCAGCTCTCCCCATCATCCCAGAACAGTTCTCCCCTGGCGAAGCCGTCCAGGCCCAGTGCCACCACCAAGGCCATGCCCTTCCCACGGGACTGGGCAGTGCTGAAGGCGGGCTCCTGGGGCATGGGGCAGGCACAGCTCAGGGCACTGCCACAGCCGTGTCCCCAGCCCTGCAGCCACAGCTCCTCTGACACTGTCCTGGCAGCGGTGTGGGCACTGCCGCCCTCCCAGGCTGCTCGGGCAGGTCACTGTGGTGTCACCACGGAGCAGAGGGGGCTCACCTGCAGGGGCAGGATGTGCCCTGCACGGACGTGGACGTTGATGGTGTCCAGGGGCGCTGGCAGGAGGATCCACTGCCCTTTGCTGTGGATGGTGGAATCCTACATGGGGACAGAGAGAAGGAACAGCAGGCACAGGGTGCCACACAGCAGGGGGGCCCAGCCCAGCACCAGAGCCCTCAAATGGCCACCAGCAAAGGCAGGTGAGGCACGAGACCCACACACAGCCCCAGGGGGCTGCTGGGATGCAGGAATGGGCACGAGGTGCCACAGCAAAGCCCCCTGTGCAACACAGCAGGAGCACCCACCCCTGCCAGGCTGTACCACGTCCCTGCTGGGAAGTAGCCGCTGACTTTGGTCTGTCCTGGCTCCAGCACAGGGGTGACGAGCAGCCCCTCGCCCCACAGGAGCTAGCGGTCCATGGCCCAGGTGTTGGGGTCTGTGGGGAACCTGGGGAAGTAGGGGAGGGAGGGCAGCACCAGGAGACCCTGCAGCTGCCTCCTGCTGAGCCCCAGCCGGGCTGGCACTCACTCGAGGAACAGGGGCCGTGCCACAGTCTGGCCGGCGCTGTGAGCCCGGTGGAACAGCGTGTACAGGAAGGGCAGCAGGGAGTAGCGGAGGCGCAGGGCGTTCCTCATGGCAGCCTGGGCGGGCGGGCTGAAGGCAAAGGGCTCCTGCGGCTGCGGGGAGGGAGGGGAACAGCCCGAGGGGATGCTCAGCCCGCGTGGGGAGGAACCGAGGGTGCATTTCGGGGATGCAGGATGGACTCTCCAGCACTGGGGCACACAGCCCTGCAGCTGAACCAGCCACCTTCCCACGCTGGCAGGTTAGCCCTGGCTGGGCCCAGAGCCCCCTGCCCGGCAGGTGAGGGCTCCCAGCGCTCACCCGGGTGCCGTGGTCGTTGTGGTTCCTCATGAAGGGGTAGAAGGCGCCCAGTTGGGTCCAGCGCACGCACAGCTCCTCGCTGGTGTTGCCCAGGAAGCCGCAGATGTCGGCACCCACCAGCGGCACCCCAAAGAGGTTGAAGAGCAGCACCTCTGCAGAGGGCACAGAGGGCATCAGGGCTCTGCAGCACCCGGGGATGGAGCCTGTGGAGAAGCCCCTGGCTGTGGGGGCAAGGGGGAAGCAGGGCTGTGGGTGCAGGCCCAGTGCCCCACAGATACCTGGTATGGAGTAGTAGAGCTGCTCCCAGTTGCTGCCAACATCCCCTGTCCAGTGCCCGGCGTAGCGCCCGTGCCCAGCGAAGGTGGAGCGTGAGATGATGAAGGGACGCTTGCCCCGGACCCTCAGCAGAGCACTGGGAGTGGGAGGGGTCTGCTCAGCACCCACCAGCTGGGGAAGGGGCTCAGGGCTCCCACAGTGCCCTGTGTTCCACACCAAACCCTCACCCACCACCCAAGGCCTGCCCATGCAGGGTCTCTCCCAGCTCTGCACCCCCAGCATGTGCAGGAGCTGTGGCAGGAGCCCCAGGCCTGCCCACACTGCCCATGCTGTGGCAGGAGCCCCAGGCTCACTTGTGGGAGGCGATGGCTTCGGTCAGCCCGTACAGGCTGTGCAGGTTGTAGTGAGAGGACAGGTACTGCTGGCTGGAGGCACAGATGGTCCCGGCCTGCAGGCGTCCTCCAAATACACCTGCAGGGGAGAGGTGGAGCTCAGAGCAACCCCTGGGCTCCTCCCGGCATCCCCAGAGCCCTGGGCAGGGCTGGAACCCACTCCTGTACCTGACATGTAGGGGGGATGCTCCAGGTTGTTGTTGGGGCAGCCATCCTGGGAGCCCTCCACGAAGTTGGACGGCTCATTCATGTCCTGGGAGGGAAGGAAAGGATGGGATGGCCTCACTGCTGCAGTGGGGCTCAGCAGAGTGCAGGGCAGGAGCCAGGGCCAGCAGCTGCAACAGAGCCACTCACAAGCCACATGCCATCGAAGGGCACTTGTTCGTGGAAGTCCTTCACCATGTCGTGCCACCACTCGTGAGTCTCTGGGTTGGTGAAGTCTGGGAAGGCCGTGGGGCCTGGCCAGACCTGCAGGGGGGAGAGCGTTGGGCAGAGCCCCCACCTTCCACCACAGCCCCCCAAAGGTTTCTCTCCCACGCTTGGGGTCCTGCTGCCACAGCCCCACTCGAGCCCTGCCCCGTGGGCACCAGGGCTGCTCCCCACACGCACCTTCCCGATCAGGGGCTGCCCCGTGGCATTTCGGATGAACACCCCTCGCTTCAGGCCCTCATCGTAGGGCTTGTACATGCCAGGGGGCCCCGAGCTGCTGATCCCAGCATCCTGGAAGGGCAAAAAGCCAGGGCTTTAGCAGCAACAGCAGGGAACAGCCAGCCCTGCCCTCATCACCACCCTGGGGCAGCTGAACCCATGCCAGCCTGCCCGTGCAACTCACCACGATCATGATGTACCTCAGCCCGCGGTCATGGAACTCCCGCACCATCTCTGGGTAGTCCTTGAAGCCTTTCTTGTTGAAGGTGAAATCCCTCTTGGCATCTGCATAATCCAGGTCGTTCCACTGCACATCCTGTAGATGGAGGCACCGCGGCTTGGGCAGGAGCAGGGACCCCAAGAGCTGCTGTGGGACCCCCACCTCAGGGCTCCCACCAGCCCCCCACAGCCCCAGGAGCCCCCCAGACCTACCAGGGGGAAGCGGGCTGCTGTCATGTTGGCCACCACCTGCCGGGTGATGTCGGTGGAGGAGTAGCCCCAGCAGCACAGGTGGAAGTCCAGGCCCCAGTATGGGGGCATGAAGGGGAACCCTGGAGGGCAGAGGGTGAGTGCTGGCAGGGATGGCTCAGCCCTGTGCCACCCCAGAGCCCTGCTGTGCCCCACAGCTCATGGCATCCCAGCAGAGCCATCCTGGCCATGGCTCAGCCGTACCAACCACATCCAGGTACTGCCGCACCACGCTCTTGGGGTCGGGGCCCAGGAAGATGTAGAAGTCCAGGATGCCTCCGGTCGTGCGCCAGGTCAGGGCTGGGCTGGGCTGCAGGAGCACGTCTGGGGAAGCACAAGTGCCAGGGGAGGAAGATGAGGATGAGGACAGGGCCAGGCCCACGCCCGGCGCCCCACGGGACTCACCCATCGCGTTGCTGTTCAGCAGAAAGACACCGTGGGCTGAACCATCGTCCTCCATCACCAGGTAGAAAGGGTGGGAGCCGTAGAGGTTGATGTGGGGCTGGAGTAGAGCACAGTGTGGTGCCAGTGAGGCTCTGCTGGAGACCCCCACACCCACCTGACCACCCCCACCTCCAGTCAGGAGCACTGGCTTCAGGTGCAAAGCCAGGGCTGTGCTCCCAAACTCTGTCACCTCAGGAGAGCTCTGCCCTGAGCCAGAGCCCTGCAAACACTCCCAGGCAGCACAGAGCTCCAGCAGGACACACCTGGGCCTGGAGACAGGGGTCCCAGGGGTTGTCCAGTGTTATGGCCGAGGCCCAGAGCTGAACCAGCACACACACACCTCCCCAGCCCCAGGAGAAGCCACAGGGCCACCCCCAGGAGCACAGACCCATCATCTCCCTTTCCCTCAGCCCGCTCCGTACCGCAGGTGCCATGTCCCGATTCCAGAGGGTGACCCTGGTCCATGCTGTGTCAAGGAACAGTGGTGTCAGGTGCTCCCCCAGCCCCGAGATGAAATGGGAGGGCAGGGAGGTGGAGATCTGCAGGAACTGGTCTGTGAAGAAGAGGGGTGCGACCGTGGTGTTCAGCCTGCAGAGAGAAAGGGAGACTCAGCCAAGGGCTGGGAGGGAGGCACTGAACTGGGGCCACTGGTGCTGGGCTGGGACACGGGTGCTCATCACCAGGGGAAATAAAAACAAGTTTTGTGTGAGCTCTGGGACTCCTGGTTCCCTGCCCAGCCACGGAACTGCAGAGGGAGTCAAAGTAAAGCCCCCACAGCCATCCCGCTGCTGTCACCAGTGTCCCAGACAGATGAAGAGCAGTGTCCCTGCACCCATCCCGGCACTGTGGGGCTGTGCACGTTTCCACCCCGAGTCCCTCAGAGGCGAGCGGGCACAGGGGCACTCACAGGACTCTCCCGCCGCGCTGCCGGCACACGACGAGGCCGAAGGGGTCCTGGCTGAGCTGCAGCCCGTAGAGCGTGGAGGGGGCTCGGCCGCGCACCCGCGGCGTGGCCAGCGGCACCTCATAGCGCGGCCGGGCCGCGTCCCGGAGCTGCGGGGAGAGCGGTCAGCGGGGCACGGGCACCGGGCACCGCCGGGCGGGCCGGGCCGGGCCGCACCGTGAAGCGCAGGCGGGCCGGGGTCTCCAGCGCCAGCTCCAGCCGCAGCTCGTCCACCGCTCCGGGCAGGAAGGCGGCGGCCACGCGGTGCAGCCGGGCGGAGAAGCCGCTCTCGGTGGCCGTCAGGTTCTCGGCGCGGTAGCTGCGGTAGCCGCGCGGGAAGAAGCACCAGGGCGGGCCGGGCCCGGCGCGGGGCCCGGGCCCGGGGCTGTAGCAGCAGCCCCGCGCCTCGCAGCCCGCCCGCGACAGGAGCCGCTCGGGGCCGCAGTCGAAGCGGCCGCCCGGGGACACCTCGCAGGCGGCAGCGCCGGGGCCCCGCGCCGCGGCCGGGACCAGCAGCGCCAGCAGCGCGGCCGCCAGCCCCGGGCCCGGCCCCATGGCCCGGCGGCGGCACCAGCACCGGCCGACCCCGCTGCTGCCCGGGCTTGGGCAAGAGCCGGGGCAGAACGGGGCTGGGCCGCCCCCACCCCGGGAAATGGGAGCTCCACCGGGGCGGGGCGGGGAGGCGGAGCTGCTTGGGGCAGAGAAAGTGAAACGTAAACAGAAACATACCGAAAGGATTACAGTAGTACGTCTGAAATAAACATTGTACTCGACAAAGTAAATATTATACCCCCCCACCTGTTTTATTTATTTATTTATTTATCTAGTTATTTATTTACAGTCTGGAGCCCGTGGAAGAATATAAAAGATACCACGTGTATTTTCTATGTTTCTGTCAGGCTTTCGCGGACCCGAGCTTGGACCTCAAGCAGTGACTGAGCCACTGCAGAGCCCTTTGGTTCTCGGGCTGTTCCTCCTGGATCTGCTGCACGATGGTGTTAATGGTCTGCAGCCGACCCTCCAGCTTCTCCTGCTGGTTCATGCAGGCCTCTTCAGTGTGGCACAGGGCCTTGTACTTCCCTTGCCTCAGTGCCTGCAGCTGCTTCTGGCGTGCCTGGTGAGCCACAAGCTCCAACAGGTTCTGAGAAAATAAAAAAGCGAAGGGGCTGTGACAGCAGGAAAAGCATGGGCAGGACTCGTGTCAGGTGCTGTGACCATCACGATGGACAAGGGAAGGACAGTGCTGTGAGTTCCCAACCATAGCAGCCAAACAGCACCCCCAGCCCGGGTGTTGGAGAGGTACAGACCTCACAGAACTCCATAAATCAGAGAAATTCCCACATATGTAAGGCAACCCTCACCAGGACAGGGTTTCAATACGTCAAGCTGGCTCTTGGTGAGCCCCCCAAAACGTGCTCAGTTAATGTGCTGTTCTAATGCATTATAGCACACCAAGCTGAGGACAGAGCTGGCAGCAGAGGAAGCAGTAGGCTCTGTCTGGCTCACATGCTGTAAGGGAAAGGATGTGCTCACCCATCGTTTCTCATTCTGGAGATATTCCCTGTCCAAGCTGAGGCTGTCGGTCTCAGCCTGGAGCTGGCACACTTCCTGCTGCTTTTCTGAAAAGTTGTCATTGAGGGACTCTTGGATGGTCTCCAGCTCCTGCATGGTTTGGTTGCATTCATAAATGTTCTAGTAAATGGAAGAGAAGGGAATGGCAGACTTCAGTTCTCTAGTTCAGCTGCACTCCTGACCATCCTCCCAGAACTGGGTTTTGGGGGATTTTCAATGAATGATTTTCCAAGCCTGCCCCTGTGCTGGCACAGGGTCACTGCTGTGCTCACTGCTGCCCACCACAAGGCCAACCCCAGCTGTGTCAGCTCCTGCAGCCCTACTTTCCTTGCTCACCTCCTGGATTTCCCTGATCTTCTTCTTCAGCTCCTGTTTCCTGCTTTGGAAGTCGCTCTTGGTGCTGTGTTTTAATTTGCTCTGAGCCTCTGCCTGATCTGTTATTGTCTCTCTTTGGGAAACACACGCCTCCATCGCCCGAATCAGCAGCTCCTGCTGTTTCTGCAGCTGCCCATAGCGTACCTGCCATTTGCCAAGACACAAACCAGCCTCAAAATCCCAAATGTTTGCCAACAGCACCAAGGGAAGCTGTCCGGGTGGCACATCCCACCAGCATAAACCAGACCTATGGGACATGAGTGCCTGCAAGCCAGATTTGGTCCAGGTCCAATCCTGGTTTTCTGTGTGTGGATCTGGAAGGCAGAGGCCTGGATTACCAACCTGTCTACTCCAATACTCAAAATGTTAGTCTGAACCTCATTAGCAAGAGCAGAAGCAGAAAAGCAGAAGCATCCTGAGAATGAAAGGGATGAGCTTCTTTGCCAGGAGAGGGAACACTTTCCTAAACCAGTGATTAAAGTGATGCAATATTTACTAATCAACACTGCACATAAATCAGGGTCACAGAATCAGGTGGCAGACATACTGCAATTTAAATAGATTTCTTGGGAGTATCCAGATCCTGCTGAGGCTGGCATGGGGAATGCAGGATGTGTGGGCTGCATGTGCTCTGTTCAGTTGAGCTGCAGGGGTTTAGAGTCCCACCCAGGCCCTGAAGATGCCACTTCTCCAGCCTGTTTCTCATCTCCTGCCTCATGTTTCAGCCACTCCAAGGCTGAGTACACTGGGTGGCTTCCCCTCCTCAGTCCTCCTTCCCAGTGCCTTACTTGCATCCTCCGAATCTCTGTTTTCATGTCATGGATCTCGCCGTGTTCTAACAGAGCATCTGTTGCTTCCCTCATCTCTTTTGCCAGCTGGAACTTCTTCTCCCACAGCAGGATCTGATGCCTTCAGAGGAGAAAGGGGAAGGAAGGAGAAAGTTAGACCCTCAATGACCTGCCCAGTGCAGCACACTCACTGCCAGTTACTGGCAGAGTCTTCCCATATGGATCTTGGCAATGTCCAGCTTACACATGCTGGAACTGTTAAAGCCAACATCCTCCCAGCTCCTGCTGGTTCCAGAGACTGCTGAAACACCTTTCAAACATTCATCCCCGTCTCCAGGAAGGCTAGAAGCACATTTGCTGGTGCCAGGTTTGGTGACTGCAGGAGAATGGGAATGTGGACACAGTCACACAGGACTGTGGCACTCTGGTACCTACTCTGCTTCTACCAGGCTGTTCAGGAGCCTTTCCTTCTCCTCAGTCAGTTTACTGTGCTTCTCCTGCATCTCCATGGATTCTTTTTCTGCTGCCTAGATTTGGGAAGAACAAAACAATACAGAGTTGTCAGGCCGAGAAGGTTTTCCAGGATCTGCCTCTGATCTGCACGGGAGGCTGAGACCTGGGAATGAGGTGCCAGGTGCCTCAGTACCTTGAGAGACTGCACAAACTCGCTCTCTGTGACAATTCTACCATTTTTCAGGTCCTCAACGCTGCTGTTGTTCTTGTTGATCAACGTGTTCAACTTTATCAAGTCATTTGACATGTTCTTTATGTGCCGTTCCACGTCCTTCTGCTCTTTTATTTCCTGCTGAATTTCATCTATGGGTGAACAGAAAAAAAGTCTTAGAATTCCCCTGAGCACTGGGTTGAACTGAGACAAGGTGTGACAAATGGCTATCAGAATTGGCAGCACCTCAGGCAGAGCCACCCATGTCCCACCAGTCCAGCCAAAATGGATTTCCACAAGCTCAAAACCAAAAAAAAGTTTTTGAAGGAGACTCCTGTGGGAAAAAGTTGGGTTTGGCCAAGGAAAGTGCAGTCATTGCTGGGGACATTTACCTACCCACTACTTGCAAAGTTTGTTTAGCAAGTGTTACAGGTGACATTGTCACTTAGGGTCTGACTGTCAGGACAGTAGGATCAATCCTTACAGGAATAACCAGGTGCAACCAGCAGGAGTTCCTGGGCTGTTGGTATTCCTGCTCACACACAGCCAGGAGCACTCTCTGGGGCAGATCCAGCTTTCCCATGTGTAACCCTCCCCTCCCTGTTCCTCCCTTCCCAGATGGACATTTTAAGGAAGAGCAGAATTTTAGGAATGACGCACTCTCAAGGCGCAGTTTCCTCTGCTGCATGATGATGATCTGCTTCTGCAGACTGTCCAGGGAGGAGACTTGTTCCTCCCTCTCCCGTGTCAGCCTCACCAGCTCCTTCTGCTCACTGAGCCAGTACTTCTGCAACGTCATTGCCTCGGAGCTGCAATCTTCTATCTGCTTGTTCAGCTTGTTGATTTCAATTTCCAGAGGTCCCAGTTCTTGCCCCTGTACGAGAGCAAAGTTTGGGCTAAATCAGGCAGAAGCTGCCTGAGCTGTTTGCAGCATCTGGACATGCCAAAGCTTGCAGAGGATGTGCCACAGGACTCATTTCCCCACGGCTATGCATAAGGTCTTACCCTGCCAGGGACAGATCTGGGAGTCACCCCAATAGGGCCAACCCTGAAATGACTGAAATCTCACTGCCTGCCCAATTTTCCCCTCCTCAGTGCTTGCAGATTTTCCTATCAAGATCCTATTTACTCATTGATGCCATCTGACATTTTCATCAGGTGCAGGCAAAGTCCCTGAGGGATCTGTGCCAGGCACACCCTCATTTCACAATTCCCTTCACTGCATTTTGAACTGATAAACAGAAACAACTGCATTAACCAATGCAGCTTTTAAATCACAGTGCTGATGCCTGAATGTTTGAACTACCCAACACTTAACACAGTTGCATTGATCAGGGACATCTGTGGCCACCACAAAGAATAAAATCAAAATTGGGACTGAAACACAAAAGTACCTACCCCCTGCTGAGAAAGAAGCATCTCCAGCTTCTTGTTGTACAGGCAGATGATCCCTCCCTTCTTCTCAGCCAGGATCCTGGACTTTGCAATCTCATTTTCCTGGCAGGTGATCTGCTCATTCACATTTTTTATTTCCTTGTCCACCTCAGAGAGTGTTTTTTGGTGAACTGTCAGCCTGCAGCTGGTATTGGTTGCATTCAGAATAATCTGGGCCACATCGTTCTCAACCTTGTAAAAATGCAGCTCCTGGGAATATCAAGAGAGAAAACACATCACTGTCCCCAGCAGCCCCTTGTTGAGTTGTAATGCCACTTGTCCAGCACAGGAGTCAGGAGATTGAGATTCTACTCCCAGGTCTGTACTACAAGCCACAAGCTACTTACCCTCTGTGTATCTTTGCTTCTCCATCAACTGCCAGCTAATACAACATCTACCCCTCCCATACAGCTGTTGAAAAGCATTAAGGAGCCTAAACATTCCAAAAACCTTTAAGAGACCTCACTCATCCCTTCTGCAATGACCCCTTGCCCAGCTGTCTCCAGTTACCTGCCACCAGCACCAGGACATCACAGCACTGTCCCTTCTCCAGCACACCTGGCACACACACCTAAAAACCAGCACAGCACTCTCAGGTGTGAGAAAGGCTGGGCTGAGCTTTCCAATCCTTCTAAGTGATCCAGTTATACACTCCCAGAGAGAGCAACTTCTCATGGATTAAAGATTGGACTGGTGGACTGTCCCTCAGAACTGAGAGCTGCCTGTATCCCATTCCATGATGAATTATAGAAATAAAAATTAGTTAAAATTAGATTACAGAAGTAACACAGGTCCACTGTTTTTCTTCAGTACATAAGA